GGTAAAACCTTTCTACTTTCTCTGCTAAAGGGATATGGTTACCTAGAATCAAAAGATGCCATACTTACAAGTGCGCTCGAAAGTTTTCTTTAATTATCATCGGGGGCAATTGATACCTGGCGCCTTTCAAAACGTAATGAAATATCATTACAGAATATGCCTTGAAATATTCATTTAATGGTAAAGGGATAACCATTTTGTGAAGTCTCTTCAAAGTTGGGCCTTTGCGGTGTGTAAACCTAAACCGCAATTTTGATCAAAAAGGTCCCCTTGATCAACCTTTTCTTTCTTTACCGTGCTTAACACTCACGTATCTGTTAGCACCCAAAGTATTGCAATAAAAGTAGCTGGACTTGAGTTTCTTCTCTGATACCTGAGTAAACCGTCGGTTTTACTTAGCTCAAGCACTTCTTTGTGAGACCAAAGTCTTCAAATCTTCAAATCTTCAATGCATGGATTCTTCCAATGTTACGCCCAGTATAGTCTTACTTAATAGAAATCCTTGCATTCGATACAGCGGCTTAATACGTCTCCGAGACGTCTCAAAGCGTTGCGCAGAATCTACTGACTGTACATTTTGTGGGCGAAATGCGACAGCCAATTGCGCACAGCAGCGTCCCCACAAACGGTCGTGGATGGAGCGACCAATTGTTTTTTTTTTTGGAGTCATTATTGCTCCCGGAAAAGCATTCCCGCCAATCAACTAACAACTGCGTTCCTACTGACTGCTGCGTATAACCTACCTCCTTTGAAGGCCTTTGACTAACTCTCCTACAGTAAGGCAATTCGGGGAAACACCACCATTGGCCAAATAAAGCATTCACACCAAGTCACAAACTGTCGATTTTCTTTTTATTATAGCCAAACTGTACAGAGGTTCCAAATAACCCAGCTGGCATTTGGGAGGGAGGGAGGGAGGGAGGGAGGTTGGGTGGGTGGGTGGGAGGTGCAAAAAAGATAGCTGGGTATGGATAAGTTATAAATTATTGGTACGTATAACAAAACACGATAATGGACACATTGATGGTTGATATTAACTGATATCTCACTACGAAACTGTGCTCTACTTTGCAATCCACATGGCATGCGCTTAAGTGTCGAAAAGATGCATTGGGGTGAAATGAAACATACTTGTTACTTGCAAATCGCTTTCATCACTAAATTTCTGCGTGGGTCGTGCTATCTACCCTAAGGTACGGTATTTACACGCCTTGTACCATCTTTGGTTCAATTGTCTGATCCCTTTGATATGTATTATACATTTCGATTTTTTTTCCCCCCCAGAATTCTTTTTTCTTTCTATAAAAATATCATTTTCATTGTTTTTCGCTTCTCTTAAAAAAAAATGGCAGTTCATTCTTTAGAAACGGAATCACGTTACTTTCAGTGCAAATAGAAAAACGCGAGAGAGAGAGAGACAGAGAGAGAGGAAGAGAGAGAGAGAGAGAGAAAGACAAACCATCTCCAAAACACACACATTCCCCGTGTACAAGGGAAGCAAAAGATTTAGCATCAAAATATTTCCGAAAGATTTTAAACGGTTAACTTGGGCTTATCGGTTCAATCACTTACATTGCATAGCTCCCAATCATCACATATTAAACAAGATGCCAAGAGCACAGAAACAGGAGGAGGCCATTCAGCTCCTGGAGCCCGTTCCGCCATTCTATTAGATCACGGCTGATCTGTACCTCAACTCCAATTACCCGCCTTTGCCCCACATCCCTTGACTTCCTCAGCTCAGGTCCAAATCCCTGACTGTCCAGCGCCTTGGGACGTCCTCCCGACGTGAAAGGCGCGACACAAGCGTAATTTGTATCGCATCGATACCCTGAACCGACAAAAAAAAAATTATCCATCTCAGTCTTGAAGATTTGGACGGATCCAGTATCCACGGCCTTTTGGGGGGGTGGTGGGGGGTTGGGGGGGGGGGAGAGAATAGTTCCAGATTTCCACTGCCCTTTGTGTAAAAAAATGCTTCCAGATTTCACTCCTATACCGTTGATAGGTGCATCGTGAATGTACCACTTAATTTTCAAGGCATTCGATGTAGCGAGTAGCGAATTTCAAGTGCTATTTGTGCATTCAGTGATGACCTCTCAAGTCCTATGTGATTCCAACATATGGCTAACATGTGCATGTTCTGTTACAGGTGACCCAAGCAGTGTAGAACCACTTTCTCTTAACAGGTGTGAGCAAGTTACCCCATACTGAACACAAATTGTACTTTAGACCTTTATTTATACGTGAGAGGGTAAAATGGAGAGGGGGAGGGAGAACAGAGATGGTGAAGGATGAGAGGATGAGAGAGGGGGGAAGGCAGGGAGAAAGAGAAATAGGGGTGGACCAGAGAGGGGGAGAGCGAGTGAGAGAAACAAAATACGGAGATGTGAGGGGAAAGGGATATCGATCAAGAAAGAACAGAGGGTTGGCCAGGGGCAAAGAAAGAGATGGAGAAAGACAGATGAAAGGAGAGATAATGAACAGAGAGAGAGAGAGAGAATGAGAACAGGTGAAGACAGAAAGCAAAAGAGAGAGAGAGAGAGGTGAGAAGGAAAGCAAGAGAGGAGATGACCTGTCTATAGTTCCATTATACAGATAAATAACGTGGGACTTTCTGCCCGGCACGATTTCCCACTGCTTGTCCAGCTCGGACCACCCTTACCCGTGAGGGCTTTGGCTTGCGGGGTTAAACAGGAGCTGAGTGGGAGGATTCCCTGTCCCTCAGTGACCGGTCGGCCCTTCCAGGTCCTGCCGACGAGCCGGGCCGGGCTGTGCTGCCATCAGCAGCGAGTGCCTTGGAATACTGGCGCCGAGCTCAGGAACCGGACTGGAGAGACCGTCACAGAGGGTGGGTTCGATTCCCACGTCCCGTTGCCAAGCAGGTCACCTTGAAGCCAGTTCAGCTCCAAGGAGATCCCGCTTACCTCCTCCCGAGGAAGATAATGCGGTGGGAAATTAACTGAAGCGGGAACAAAAGCTTGTGGAAGCACCCAGGAAGTGAGCTGAGGGGCAGGTTTCATTTCATTCCCTCCCCCCCCCCATTCTCTCGCTCTCCGTTCCAGCCATTGGTCGCGCTTGGAGGGTGTCCACAAAGTCCTGTTGGCCCCCATTTTTTTCTCTCTCTTTACACAGCGCACTGACCAACAACCGAAACCTGTGGAAGAATGATGATCATTGTGTTCAGAAGGACTTAATCGGAGTCTGTACAAGTGTTTAACTGTGTTCAGACGTCCAGAAGATCGGTGCGTGAGTGTGAGCCCCATCATTTTCATGGCAGATAATGATCCATCGACATCTTCCATGACACGGATGGAGTGAGGGATCAAAATATATCTCTGACAGCTTGTTCCAGCTCCTCCGCAGTCTCTTAGAGCTGTTTTGTAACAGGAGGGGTGGGGTGTAACAGGACTTTGTGGACACCCTGTAGTTTATTTGTTGTGAAAGCAGAGGTGTGCTTCTCTGATTTTCTCCCTGGGGCGGGGGTGGGGGGGGGGGGAAGGAGGGAGAAATGGGGACAGGGGGGCGGAGGAGAAAGTCTCTTTTAATTCCATCATTAAGTTCGTCGTTTAAAAAATATACAGTTGGGCGTTAGCCCGAGATATATATGCAAAGGGGCATGTTGATTGATTGTGGTTCGTGTCGTAACCTGACTGAGATCACTTTGCATAACCTCCGAACTCTCAAACAAGCTGCGAATTAATAATAAAAAAAAACACTCAGTCCAAATATTGTGCTTCGATTCTCTCTCGCTCTCTCTCTCTCTCTCGCTCTCTCGCTCTCTCTCGCTCTCTCTCTCTCTCTCCTTTTTTTGCATCATAAATAATTAGACGGTTCGATTTTCCCTTTTTCTTTTTTTTCAAAACGAGAGCGCGTTTCCAGGCAGGAGACATGAAACTGCATTTCACAGGTGAGTCATTTCACACGGATGTCTCTTGCGGGGTTTTTTTTTGTTGCATTCAGAGCACTTAAGAGGGCCTCAAGGTGTGCCTTAATTCGCTTTATGTGATGTGGATTGGGTGTGCGAGAGTGTGAGAGAGTGGGGTGGGGTTTGGTGAGATGCCATTAACTCGGCATTGATCATTGGGGAGTCCTGAGGCGTAGTGGTTAGATCGCTCGCCTCGCAAGTGAGAGGACCTGGGTTCAATCAATTCCCGGGCGGGGCGAAACCTTAGGCAAGTTTCCTTACTACGCACGCCTCTGTTTACCCAGCGGTACGCAGGAACCCGGTTGTTTAGTCGATTAGCGGATCGCTTTTCCGCCGGCAATAAACCCTCAAAAAAAAATTGTAAAAATAATAATTTGGTCACCCAAACCACGACTGTTTGTGGTACACTGCTGTGCGCGATTGGCTGCTGCGTTTCGCCCACAAAATAGTTGTCCCATTGGGGAGGGGAAAGTAGAGGCGGTGATGGTGGATGAGGGGGGAAGGGGTGGTGGTGGTGGTGGTGGGTGGCGGGCGGGGGGGGTGGGGGGGGGGGGTAGGAGAATGGAAGAGTAAAAAAAATTGATATCAGTGGCAAGCTGTGCGGTTTGAGATGGTTAGACTCCAGCAGTTACCCCCAACGCACACTCTGGGCTCCTCCCCCCTCCCCTCCTCTCCCCCCAAGCCTTGGCTCTTGCTAACCTGCGCCTAATACTCTCCGGAATTAGGTAAGCAGGGTGCGTCCCTCCAGGGAGAGAGAGAGAGAGAGAGAGAGAGAGAGAGAGCGCGGTCCATCCCAACAATCTCTCTCCGGGATTTCCATGTGTAAGGGGGAGACGCAGGGAATTCTCAGTTGGGTTTGGAGACTCTCAAAGCGACGGCGATGGGTATCCGCGTGTGTCAGACGCCCCCAAAATAAAAATAAGAAGAATTGAAGTGTGAAACTCGCCAGCCTTTCGGTGTGAGTCAATGAAATGCAGTGTGTGGGGGATCAACGGCTTTTTTTCTATATATATATAATATAATATATAATACATATATAAAACCAAGTGTCCGGAAAGGAAAGCCAGCCAGATAAGATAAGGTAAGGTAAGATAAGAGGGCGGGCTCCGGTCATGTGCACCCGCACTCTTCCACGATCATATTGGGGACGTCTCTCTTCACGATATTGTACTCGTCGTCGAAGTAGAGCATGGACATGGTGCTGAGTTTGGTGGGCACGCAACACGAGTGCATGGCCTCGGGGTTCATGCCTCGCATCCTGTATTGGTTCACGACGGCCGTGTGGAAGGAGGAGGCCGAGCCGGGGGCTCCCGCCATGTAGGCCGGGCACCTCCCTTCGCAGTAGTTACCGAAGTAACCGGTCGGCGCTATGATCCAGTCGTTCCAGCTGATCAGTCGGAAGTCGATGTAAAACTGCTGACGGCAGCACAGGTTCGTCCTCCCGTCGCACTCCAGCCCCCGCTTGCGGATGTGGTGCCTGCTCTCCATCTCCAGGGCCTGCACGGCGAGGAAGGGGCGGTGGGACTGATCGCTGCTGTCCACCAACACGGGGGAGACCGACAAACCCTGGCAGCCGTCGCAACGCACCTCCAGGTTCTGCCTCCGTTCCCCCTTGGCAAAGTGATCCTGCACCGGCCCGGTCAAGGGGAAAGTGTGCCAACTGCTCCTCTTGAGATCTACTCTCTTCTCTACCCAAGACCACTTGTCAATGGCACCCGCCTCTTGATAAAGGATCCGCACAGTCACTTTCCTCCTGCTGCTGCTGCTGCTGTTGTTGTTGTTGTTGTTGCCCTTCTCCCAGTTGGACGGTAGCAGCTTGAGATAGAGCCACAGGTTGGCTTGCTGGACGAAGAGGTTCGGGTTGCCCTCGTTGGAAATCAGGAAGTACAGACCCGACGTGGGAGAAGCGAGGTCATCTGTATTGAAAGGACACATCACACACACACACACGCACACACACACAGTGTGTTAATTAATCCTTGTATAACGCCCGCTGTTCCATTTCCCGCGCACATACACCTATTGGTTAGAGCGCTCGCCTCGTAAGCGAGAGGACCTGGGTTCGATTCCCAGGCGGGGCGAACCCTGAGGCAAGTTTCCTTACTCCACACACACGCCTCTGTTTACCCGGCAGTAAGTAGGAACCCCCATTGTAAGTCGATTGGCGGATTGCTGACCGGGGTAATAATCCCTCCCCTCAAAAAAAAAATAATAATAATAATAATAATTCGCTCACTCAATCCACTGCTGTGCGCAATTGGCTGCCAACAAAATATACAGTTAATTCACTTTACAACACAAGGCATTGATCTGGTAGCAAGGGAACAGGCGCCGCTGGTGTAGTGGTATCATGCAAGATTCCCATTCTTGCGACCCGGGTTCGATTCCCGGGCGGCGCAGTAAATTTTCGCCCCCAAAAAACCCACCGCCGATACATTTCATAATAGCCCCAAACTGATTTCCTCGGTTTTGAACTGTGAGTTCACATTTCTTTTTATCTTATATTCACAAACTGTCACTGTTACAACACATTCCCATCAGAATGAAATATTAAATATTAACTTAAACAGGGATACTTGTAAATTATGTGTTATATATATTGTATATATATTCAGGAGACTTGAAATTTTTGTTCGGGACAGAGCTTTTGAGCTGTCGAAGCGAACAAACCGGAAAAGCTTTTCCCCGAATCTCGGGAACTCTCTCCCTCAATTCCTCTGCCTTTCCCCCCTTCCATCCTTCCCCAACTTCAGAAGTGAAGACCTTCCTGGTCGACCGTGACTACCGTCACCAACCCCCTCCGCCAACTGTCAAGCTCTCTGGGACCCTCCCCTGCCCTGGAGGGGGCTATATAAATGCAAGTCGTCGTCGTAGTATCGTTATGGTATTCTCAGACCCATCGATGTTCTGACTTCACGCAAACGTGTGAAGACCTCAAGGATACTCATTCATCCTCTGAACGGCCGAGTCAGTCAATGATCGCATGGAATTGTCAGTTTGGTTTGGATATATAAGTACGGTGATGGGTTTTCGCGAGAAAGAGAGAGAGAGAGAGAGAGAGAGAGAAAGAGAGAGGGAGAGAGAAACGATTTGGGGTGATTTGGGGTAATACAAAATTACATTTGTCTCGCGCCTTCCACGTCGGGAGGACGTCCCGAGGCTGTGGATTTGCATTTCAAATGTAGATTTCTGAATGAGTTGTGGGCATTTAGATACTTCGGTGTGTGTGTGTGTGTGTGTGTGTGTGTGTTAAAAAACACTCAGTTTCACAGTTTTTTTTTCGTGGCAGTTAACTTAAGGTCAAAACCTTGAGCCAAGCAGCTGTCTTAAGTGCTTTGATAAATACACCGAGGTATTTCAACTTTCCAAAGCACGTTTATTCAGCGCTGCAGTAAACTTTATAAGGTAGTAAAGGGAATGAATGCATGCTTGCACGGCACTTGTAAAATTGCCCAGTGCTGATGGTTTCAATTTTGCCATTAAGAAATCTGATTCGCTCCAATTCGTTTCGCCCACAAAATATACCGTCAACTTCACTTTGCGGTGTAATCCGTGAAGCGCTTTGAGACGTCTGGAAGACGTGATAAGGGGCTGTATCAAATGCGGGGATTACTAATGATATTATCTTAAGACCGGCATGGATTTCGATGCGCTAGTGGTGAGTGTGTGCGTGCGTGTGCGTGCGTGTGTGTGTGTGTGTGGAGGGGGTGGGGAAGGGGGAAGGGGTGGGGGGAAGAGAGGAAATTAACCTGTTTCAGCAAATAACAAGAGAGAAGGGTGCAGGTAACAAATCAGGTAATGTGTGGGACAAATAGTGCACATGCCAACATGTGCGCTCTTTTATTTTATCCCACAATTAAGTGAATGAACGTGCAAGTAAATCAAAGTTTCCCCCCACACACACACACGCACACGCACACGCACGCACACACACACACAGTGTGATAAATTACCTGGACTTTAAACGATACATAAAGCGTCACTGCAGATTTATGTTTTCTATTATGTAATTCTGAAACATAATATATCCCAAGGGGATGGGGGTGATATTAAAATTCTCGCTGGACACTCGGGTCTTAATATTTGCTCTCAAGCAAAGTAACAGCGTGCTTCGAGTGCGTTTTTTTTACGGTAAGGCTTCAACAGTCACCTAAAGTGTTTGCGCCAAGCTCACTCTAAAAATATAACAACAATAATCCTCGCATTTGAAGAAGCCACTCATCGC